ACAAGGCTAAATAGGGTCCTGAGATGAGGCACCTGAGACAGGGAGGGGTGCAGAACCAAGGAGCTGGCTAGACTCCTAAATATATACATTTGTGTACGGGATAATGATTTGACGTATGATTAAACTAAAGTAACTTTTGATAAGAGCAAGAGTCAGTTGATGTGTGCTGAAACCGACGAGAGGTTAGGCCTGCAAAAAGAGGGCCCACCTGGATAGATTGATATGGTTTAATAAAGGGTGCGGTTGGAGGGGGTTACTGGGTTTATATAGCCAAATAATCCCTCCCACAAATTCAGGCATACGTCTTCCACATATGAGAAAACGGGGGGCTGGTTGCACTCACCTGAATATGCATAAGTAGAGCCAGTTTATACAATGAAAACAGAACACATCTAATATGGCGATGGCCTTTGTAAAATGACTCCTTACAGGGCATCAATGCCACCACCTCATTTAGGAGTTATTGATTGTATTGACGGTTACACATTTCGTTATCAATAAAGCAGCCGGTGACGTCTTTCCTTCCAGCCTGTTGTCCATGTTATTGGTTGTTCTGGGGACAATTTGGGGAGTCTGGATGTGTGTGTGGCCTGATCATTTAGCATTTAACCGGAAGGCTTTCAGAATGAAGCAGGGAGACTTCTTATAAGAAAAACAATAGTCTGATATTTATTAATGTTTACAAATAATGAGATTCTTATCCCCCTCTCCCCATATTGGCAATGTGTATAGACCATTTGCTTGGTTCAGTAATTGTTTACGGAATTCCCCTCATTCCCGTCTCGACAATGAAAGGTCTGTCTGGGAATGGCGGCCGGCGTTGGGGAGGAAGCAGAGATTTCTGTGTAGTCCTCCTCCAGATTATGATTTACAGCAGGATGGCTCACTAGTCCAGGCAGAGGAGAGACCCCCGGAGCCCAGGGAGGTGCCCCCAATGTTCAATGATCTCCATTTCACACACAGCGTGATTATTGCTGGCACCAAGGACAGCGAGCTGAGCATCCATAATGGAAAAAATCTGTCTTTTCCAAGTTAATTAGCAGGAGCACACATTTAACAAACTCCGCTGAGAGAGCCTCATTAACATTTCAGAAGAAAACGACCCCCCCAATTATACTAGATCCTCCATCTTCTTACAAATCAGCAAAAGGAATTTCCGTGACTTGATAATGAGGGTGATGTACATACGGAATAATCCTTTAAAATCCAGTCTTTGGGCTTTCTATCCAGCCACACTTTGTTATTCTAACAGTGTTTAATATTCTGCATTTTACAGTCACTCTTAGCCAGTAGCATAGTATATAATGGTGTATAATAGTATATAACGGTGTATGATGGTATATAATAGTGTATATTAGTATATAATGGTGTGTAATGGTATATAACGGTGTATAATAGTATATAATGGTGTGTGATGTATATAACAGTGTATAATAGTATATAACGGTGTGTAATGGTGTGTAATAGTATATAATGGTGTATAATATATAATGGTGTGTAATGGTGTATAACGGTGTGTAATGGTATATAATAGTGTATAATAGTATATAACAGTGTGTAATGGTGTATAATAGTATATAATGGCGTGTAATGGTGTATAATAGTATATAAAAGTGTGTAACAATTAAATATAAATACCGCACTCTATGCATAGATTAGGCATGCTAAGGAGAAATTCATAGATGGGTTTGTGAAAAAATTCATTTATTGTGTACTAACCCAGTGTAATACAAAAAGTTGCTTAAGGTAATGGTGACCTTATCCTGAATTAATATATCTTACACATAGAGAAGAATTCATAATATATACAACTAATATTTACAACCACTGGCCATCCCTTCATAATTTCATGTATAATACACCAAGTACAAGTTCATGATATGTACAATGATTATATACAAATAATTACAGTCCTGATATCCCATACGTGTGGGGATAAAGTATTCTAGGTGGATCCACCACCTACTGGGGTAATGCTAGGCCTCTAAGAGAATTGGAAAAAGGAAAAAAATGCTATTAATAGCAAATAATGAAAAATGAGAAAAAATGAAAAAATGAGAAAAATAAGAAAAAATATCTTATAAGGCAGTCCAATTTTGGGGAATAGTGCACAGACGAAGCATTATATGTGGGTGGATCTCACCAATAGTCGTGATGCTTTCGCAGGGATGGGCTGTAATTGTGTTGAGGGTTTTCCCAGATTGTAGAAGGGGTAAACCAATGAAGCAATCGTGAAGAGCGTCCTCCTGAATCTTTAAGTCGTGTCCTCATATACGGTGAGTCAGACCGAACAGCAGCAAAAACGGTCCTGAACGGAATCAGCTGAGCAGCTTGAGGCAGCTAAACGGGCTGAGATCCACCCACATATAATGCTTCGTCTGTGCACTATTCCTCAAAATTGGACTGCCTTATTTTCTCTTATTTTTCAAATTTTTTGCTTACTTTTTCTCATTTTTTCTTTTTTTCTTATTTTTGCCCTTTTTTTCTTTTTTCTAATTTTTCATTATTTGCTATTAATAGCATTTTTTCCTTTTTCACAAACCCATCTATGAATTTCTCCTTAGCATGTATAATCTATGCATAGAGTGCCGTATTTCTGTTTAATTGTTGTATATATTTTGAGGTGGTTAACCTCGGACACCTGCACCTACATGTGATTGAGTGCCAGCACAATTTGGAATTTTTTATAATAGTGTGTAATGCTATTAATGTATAATAGTATATAATGGTGTATAATAGTTGTGATAAAGTGAAGGCAGATAGGCCTTTTAACCCCAGGGGGAGTATGTGTAGGATGTGTTGTAGGCAACACAAAACACTGTTTAGTTATGGGCCCCTGGGGTGGAGTATTTGGAGAGAAGGGTGGGCCAATGCTCCACTCCACAGTTTAGTGGTTTTCTGGGGAGACATGGATCCAGGCCAGGGTTTTTTGGATCGTCTCCAACCCACTGCACAGCTGCAGTCAGGGCAAGGCTGGCTTGGAGCACTGGGAGTGCAGAAAGGAAAGCAACAGGTTAGATAGCAGAGTGTTGCTCTCTAATAAGGTTGGTGCAATATTGTTTTGTTTAGTTTAACCCTGAGAGATAGGGAACTAATGTCAGTTAGTGCTCAGACGAGCTAGGTGTTTGTTTATAGGGTTTTCTGTTACATTTGTTTTCATTTACTGCTGTATCTTGTGTGGATTTTCAAATAAAGTGCCTGGAGTATATGCATTGAAAGACTGCATGTTTTTGCCCTAGAGGACCGTGCTACCTGCAGACAAGGATCACATAGTATATAATGGTGTATAATAGTATATAAGGGTATGTAATGGAGAATAATGGTGTATGATATTGTGTAATGTAGAATAATAGTATATAATAGTGTGTGTGTGATGGCACCCCGGGTATGAGAAAGGGTTTACGCTGTCAAAAGATGTTCTTTCCCCCAAGTATGAAGTCTGCTACCGAATAATCCCAAACGCTAAACCGGAACCTTGAAAATATATCCCCCCAAGCACAAGACAAGGCTCTGTGTTGAGGGTCAAGCATGAACTCTTTAATGGTGGCCACAGCTTGGCTTTTTATGCAGGTCCTCCAGCAAGGGATACTCCCACAGGGAACTGGAATACAGTTACAGTAGCCAATCAAAATACAATACAATGTGAAACACTCCCACATAAACAGTAAAATCCATCCTCTCTATCCTGGAGATAATTGGGTTAAGCGGCAGTAGTAAAATTAATTATCTCCATGTACAGAGAATATTCCTAAGTTAAAACTGTAACAAAACACATTAAAATACATAACTCATGTTTCCCATAATTAAACCCCCATGTTCGACATGGGGTTTAAGTGCTTTCGCTGACCATTCAACATAAATCTGACTAGAATTAGTTCCATGGCTCTTAGTCCTCAGGGTCGGTCTGGTTCGTGAGTTTAAATGTACTGAACGCCGCTGAGTTCGTATAAATCTAAACAAAATGATGGAAGTCTGGAAGTCCCAGCGGTGTTCGTGTGAAACAGTGACCGAAATCAGTTCCATGCGGTCGACGACAAAACACCGCTGGGCGTTTGACAGTTTAAGATGGCCACCGCCACGTGTTCGTTCATACGAACAACGACCACCCAGCCGACCGTTCAGTGGCAGCAGTTAACCACAGTGTCAAAGAGGTCAAAAAGGTTAACAAGCAGCACACTTCCCTGCTGGGTGGCCAGCCATTCAGTAGTTAGTTTGTTTTAGTGAACGAAACCAGGGAAATAGGCGACCAACCGGGAACTGACAAACAAACATGTGTAATGGTGTATAATAGTATATAACGGTGTGTAATGGAGTATAATAGCATATAATGGTATATAATTGTATATATTACATAGTTACATAGCTGAAAAGAGATTTGCGTCCATCAAGTTCAGCCTTCCTCACATTTTTTTTTGCTGTTTATCCAAAAGAGGGCAAAAAAAAAACAGTTTGAAGCACTTCCAATTTTGCAACAAGCTAGGAAAAAAATTTCTTCTTGACCCCAGAATGGCAGTCAGATTTATCCTTGGATCAAGCAGTTATTACCCTACATTGAAAGATTAAATCCTTGAATATTCTGTTTTTGCAAGTATGCATCTAGTAGCTGTTTGAACATCTGTATGGACTCTGATAAAACCACTTCTTCAGGCTGAGAATTCCACATCCTTATTGTTCTTACAGTACGAAAACCTTTCCTTTGCCTTAGACAAAATTTTCTTTCTTCCAGTCTAAACGCATGACCTCGTGTCCTATGTAAGGTCCGGTTTGTGAATAGATTTCCACACAATGGTTTGTATTGGCCCCGAATATATTTGTATAATGTTATCATATCCCCTCTCAGGCGACATTTTTCTAAACTAAATAGGTTTAAATTTGTTAACCTTTCTTCATAGCTAATATGTTCCATTTAGTGATGTCCCGAACGGTTCGCTGAATGGTTTGCGAACGGTTCGCCACGGACTCATCATTGAGTAAACTTTGACCCTGTACCTCACAGTCAGCAGACACATTCCAGCCAATCAGCAACAGACCCTCCCTCCCAGACCCTCCCACCTCCTGGACAGCTCACTAAGAATGCAGCTTCACAATGGATCCTGTCCAGGAGGTGGGAGGGTCTGGGAGGGAGGGTCTGCTGCTGATTGGCTGGAATGTGTCTGCTGACTGTGAGGTACAGGGTCAAAGTTTACTCAATGATGAGTCCGTGGTCAACCGTTCGCAGCGAACCGTTTGCGAACCGTTCGGGACATCACTAGTTCCATTCCTTTTATTAATTTTGTAACCCGATCTGCACTTTTTCTAGTGCCATAATATCTTCTTTTAGAACAGGTGCCCAAAATTGCACATCATAATAGCATATAACAGTGTGTAATGGTGTATAATAGTATATAATGGTGTGTAATGGAGTATAATATTATATAACAGTGTGTAATGGTGTATAATAGTATATAATGGTGTATAATAGTATATAATAGTAAACAATGGTGTGTATAATAGTATATAATGGTGTATAATGGTGTATGATATTGTGTAATGTAGAATAATAGTATATAATGGTGTATTATAATATATAGTGGTGTGTAATGGAGTATAATAGTATTTAATGGTGTTCAATAGTATATAATGAAGTATAATAGTATATAACAGTGTGCAATTGTAGAATATTGCATATTCTATGTTTCTGTTGATTATGTATGAATGTCTGCATTGACATAAGTAACAGATGGTATCAATAAGTCACAAGTCTTTCTTTGTATGAGAACTCTGGAATGTGGATTGGGGGTCTTGTCCTTATATGGTTAGTGTTATATTCTGACGTCAGTATGGGCACATCTATATAGTAACTGAACAAAGGGGACATGAGGTCTCTCTCGCTCGCTCTCGATGTAGCTATGTAACGATGTAACTCTCCCTTTAGGAGTCCAGCAATTACCATCTGCTGTTGAACATCCATTATCCTGTAACATCCTTTGTTGTTTTATTATGTATCAGTAACTAAGAATAAACCTGAAGAAACCATAAGTCAGATTGCGTATTAGTACTTTTCATTAATATAGATGTATATTAATGTAGCGAGCCTTTAACCCAAGACCATATATACAAAAGACGTATATATCAATCAACTGGAGAATATAAGAAAAAACAAGTATATTTTACAGTAATGGTGTATAATAGTATATAACGGTCTGTAACAGTGCATAATGGCCTATAATAGTATATAATAGTGCATGACTGAGTGTAATATTTTATAACCGTGCATAATGGTGTGCAATAGTAAGTAATAGCATATTTAGAAGTATAAAGTTGCATCATTGTGTTTAATGGTGTATTATAGTGTATAGTGATGGGTAATGGTGTGTAATAGTGTATTTAGGAGTGTAATAAGGAGTATAATGGCGTGTAATCATTTTTTTTTTATAACACAGCATAATATTGTATAATGGTATATAATTATTGTGACAAACACTCTTTTCCTCAGACGTTTGCCACAAACTCCTGGAGGAGTGTGGAAGCTGGCCTCCTGCCCACCGACTATGGTCCAGGTCTGAGACACCATTCGGGAGTGACCCTGCCTTGCTACCATTAGCAGCTTTCCCTGGGCGCCCCTGGTTCTGCACTTTCCCTTCATTCGATTGGAATCAAACACTAGCTCCCTGGCGGTCGTTCGCATGAACCAAACCCACAAATGGTTCTCAGTGGGACTTAGCCACGACCACTATGGAACTAATTTCGTCATGAGAACGTCATGGGTTCCCTGTCACCTCAGCGGGACTTAGCTGTGAATGTTGGTGTTGGATTTTGAACCACTTTGCAACCTGCCAGGAGAGCGCTTTTTGGAGGGAAGGTGCCTGAGACTAAGGGGAACAAACACTACCTGATAGCCAGACAGAGCACTCTGTAATTTGTACGCAGTCAGAACTTTAGCACGGTGGCATTTTGCATACACTACATGGATCTGAACGCTATTTGGACAACTTGGGTCTTTAACGCAATTATCTCCCAGACATAGAGATCTCTGGGAGACCCCATGCAGGGGCTGTGTATATAAGCCTCTACACCCTTCACTCAGTCTGGACTAGTGTTTGGGTGGATCAGCTATATTCTCTGCAGGAGAGCTTAATCACTTGAAGCTGTATCCAGGATCTTGTTCCAGGGCGGGAAGTGACAGAGAAACCCCAGCCAAGCTGCAGCGGCTATGGGCTAACAGACAAACACACACACACACTCACTCACTAATAGACACACACTCACTCACTAACAGACACACACTCACTAATAGACACACACAAACTCACTAATAGACACACACTCAATCACTAGCAGACACACACTAACAGACAAACACACACTCACTAACAGACACACACAGTCAGACACACACTAACACACACACACACTAACAGACACACACTAACAGACATACACACACACTCACTCACATTAACACATTTCTTTTACTTTAACCCCCCCAGCCTATCCCCCAAATTCTCAGTTCTATGTCACTGTCAGCATCCCCTGTACTTTAATTCACAGCTCTATGCCAGCCTCCCCTGTCCCCTAATTCTCAGTTCTATGCCAGCCAGCCTCCGCTGTACCCCAATTCTCAGTTCTATGCCAGCTTCCCCTGTCCCCCAATTCACAATTCTATCCCAGCCTCCCCTATCCCCCAATTCGCAGTTCTATGTCACTGACAGCATCCCCTGTCCTCTAATTCACATTTCTATGCCAGCCTCCCCTGTCCTCCGAATTCTCAGTTCTATGTCAACATCCCTTGCCCCCCTATCCCAGGCTCCCCTGTCCGCCAGTTCTCAGTTCCATGCCAGCCTCCCCTGGCCCCAAGGGCTTGAGTCCTGCAGGAACGGGTGGGAACGGCATTCCTGTACTTTTTTCACAGCAGGAACGCTGTTCCCGTTGCTCCTGCAGGCACTTAGGGGGGTGGCAAAAAATGCCCCCCGTGTTTCCCTAATGACCACCTGATGGACCCCCCCAGCGGGCACCTGTCTTCCTGTCAGACGCGGCAATGGAGCTGTATTCTCCCAGCTCTGCTCCCTCGCGCACCGTTTGCTGATGCCGGGAGCTGGAGTATGACGTCATATTCCAGCTCCCGGCATCAGTAGACAGCCCGTGCGGTGAGAGGGAGCAGAGCTGGGAGAATACAGCTCCCTCGCCACGTCTGACAGGGAGACAGGTGCCCGCCTCACTGAAGCCCCACTAGACCCCAGGGACAGGTCCACGCCAGCTCTCCAGGTAGGGAGGCTGGGGGGACTTTTTAAAATGTTGAAGAATATGAATTTGTGTTTTTCTGTGAGTGTGTGTGTGTGTGTGTGTGTGTCTGAGTATGAGTGTGTGTCTGTGAGTGTGTGTATGAGTGTATGTGTGTGTCTGGGAGTGTATGTGTCTGAGTGTGTGTGTGTGTGTGCACCTGTCAGTGTGTGTGTGCACGAGTTTATATATGCATACGAGTGTATATTATTTTTTGGGGGGGTTTGGGGGTTGGATCTTGGGTGAGTTCCTACACTTTATTCCCCAGGACTTGACCCCTGTCTGTCCCCCAATTCTCAGTTCTATGCCAGCCTCCCCTGTCCCCAATTCTCAGTTCTATGCCAGCCTCCCCTGTCCCCCAATTCTCAGTCCTATGCTAGCCTCCCTGTCCCTTAATTCTCAGTCCTATGCTAGCCTCCCTGTCCCTTAATTCTCAGTTCTATGCCAGCCTCCCCTGTCCCCCAATTCTCAGTCCTATGCCAGCCTCCCCTGTCCCCCGATTCTCTGTTCTATGCCAGCCTCCCCTGTCCCCCAATTCTCAGTTCTATGCCAGCCTCCCCTACCCCCAATTCTCAGTTCTTTGCCAGCCTCCCCTGTCCCCCAATTCTCAGTCCTATGCCAGCCTCCCTTCTCCCCCAATTCTCAGTCCTATGCCAGCCTCCCCTGTACCCCGATTCTCTGTTCTGCTCCCCTTGGCCTCCCTGTCCCGATTCTGTTCTGCTTTCAGCCTCCTGTCCACAATTCTCAGTTCTATACCAGCCTCCCCCTACCCCAATTCTCAGTTCTTTTAGCCTCCCTGTCCCCAATTCTCAGTCCTCTGCCGGCCTCCCTACCCCCAATTCTCAGTTCTTTTGCCAGCCTCCCTGTCCCCAATTCTCTGTTCTATGTGCCAGCCATACTGTCCCCAATTCTCAGTTCCTGCCAGCCCTCCCTTACCCCCAATTCTCCATTCTATGCCGGGCTCACTGTCCCAATTCTCTGTTCTATGCCAGCCCCTCCACTGTCCCAATTCTCAGTCTTCCAGCCTCCCTTCTCCCAATTCTCAGTCTATACCAGCCTCCTGTCCCGATTCTCTGTTCTGCCACCCAGCCTCCTGTCCCCGATTCTCTGTTCTAGCCACCAGCCTCCTGTCCCAATTCTGGTTCTATGCCAGCCTCCCCTACCCCAATTTCTCGAGTTCTTTTGCCAGCCTCCCTGTCCCCAATTCTCAGTCCCTCTGCCAATACCTCCCTACCCCAATTCTCCCAGTTCTTTGCCAGCCCTGTCCCCCAATTCTCTGTTCTATGCCAGCTTCGCCTGTCCCCCAATTCTCAGTTCTATGCCAGCCTCCCTTACCCCCAATTCTCCATTCTATGCCAGACTCCACTGTCCCCCGATTCTCTGTTCTATGCCAGCCTCCCCTGTCCCCCGATTCTCTGTTCTATGCCAGCCTCCCCTGTCCCCCAATTCTCAGTTCTATGCCAGCCTCCCCTACCCCAATTCTCAGTTCTTTGCCAGCCTCCCCTGTCCCCCAATTCTCAGTCCTCTGCCAGCCTCCCCTACCCCCAATTCTCAGTTCTTTGCCAGCCTCCCCTGTCCCCCAATTCTCTGTTCTATGCCAGCTTCGCCTGTCCCCCAATTCTCAGTTCTATGCCAGCCTCCCTTACCCCCAATTCTCCATTCTATGCCAGACTCCACTGTCCCCCAATTCTCTGTTCTATGCCAGCCTCCACTGTCCCCCAATTCTCAGTCCTATGCCAGCCTCCCTTCTCCCCCAATTCTCAGTCCTATGCCAGCCTCCCCTGTACCCCGATTCTCTGTTCTATGCCAGCCTCCCTGTCCCCGATTCTCTGTTCTATGCCGGCCTCCCCTGTCCCCAATTCTCCAGTTCTATGCCAGCCTCCCCTACCCCAATTCTC